TACGCGGCTTGCGGACGCCTGGGAGCGATAAGCACGCAGGCGTGCGCGCCTTTCACGCCGGTGTGCGCGACGCCGGTGAAAGTTCAGGCATCGGGGTGAATGGGTCACTCGGCAGGGGCCTGTCATAGCTCAAGTGCCCCGCATTGCCCGCCCGTAAAGCGGCCGCGGCCGACAGCGGTGCCGAGCAGTCTGAACAACCCTCGCCACCGAGGAGCGGCTCTAAATTTCTGAGAGTCGACCGACCTGACCGGCAGCGTCCAGACGTGAGAGCAGCGCGGTCGGCTGTACAGAGTACCTCCCCGCGTACCCCTGGCACCATTCGTATCACCTCGCCTTCACACGCGCTCCGCGTGCGGTAACAAGCGCGGCGATGCGAGACACGGCCGCCCAGACGCGCGTGGCGGCGATAGCTGACATGAGCGGGCCCAGCGCGGTGCCGCCTGATCCCCGGCGAGTCGGGCCGAGCCGGACCGCACGCAGCCGAGCCGGGCCCGCGCGCCGGCAGTGCCGCCAGCTCGTCACAGCCGAGCCGGGAGAGCCGGGAGAGCGCCCGCCCACCGGCACGCCAGCCGCAAAACGACGCCGGCCCGCTACCCACGGCTGCCGCCACCGGCTCATGACATACACCGAGAGCTTGTCCGCACCGACTCGCTTGTCTGGGTGCCATCAAGTCATTGATTCAGATATCACCCAAGGGCCGGAGGTTCAATCAGAACCCATTTCGCTCACGAGCATGCCATAGGCTCTATCTAGACGAGTCTTTTAAATCTAGACGGGCCAGACTATCCACTTAGACGGGCCAGACTATCCACTTACAGGAGCGCCAGCCGCGCAACACGCCATCCAGGGTCAGAGGCGGGACAATGTCCCCCAGCTACGCCGATCTATAAACTCCTCTTACTGCGGCCCGCGGTGTAACTTTCGGTGTAGCTGGAGGGGGCATCGCAGCACTCACATTCCACATACTGAAGGAAACTGACCAAAGTCGGGGAATGCACGTGTTTTGACATATGTTGGGGTAAGGTTGGCCAATTAGCCAACACTAACCCACCACCACCCAAATGTTTTGCAAAACTACGCCGCTGACTGTAGTTAATCGTCTGTTGCGTGATCTCTTGCAGAGAAAATGTGTCCAGATTGAAGGTTTTTAGTGGAAATGATGCCTGTTATAGACAGGTTTGGACACTCAGTTTTATACTATTTTCTTGTCTTCGATCTTTATTCGCGGATATGTCACATTGTCCAATGATTTCGACCTCCTGATTTTTGACGACGACAGTTTGGTCTCACCTCTGTCCCCTTTTGAAACCGCTTCAAGTCATCATCGGTAAATTTTGCAGCCAACAGTTTTGCTGGCCAAATTTTACAGACAGCACGGGTGTAGGCAGGGTCAGACTCCGTTGTAGCAGAGCTGAAACAGTGATGTGCGGAGAACTATTCCCCAGGTGCGTATCGCGCACCACCATGCATAAATTAGCGCAAACATCACTCAACAGGGTTAGTTACCGTAATCAAGATTCGTTATCTAAATCACGGCTGATTATCTTTATTAGCGTTGATTACTTCGGGGAGGCTTACGAGCTCTGTGGAAACAGGTCACCACGACCTACACGGACGAGAGAGAGCAAGAGACGCCAGCGAGTTACCGAGACTACAAGCCACGGGGGCACCAGCCAACCCAACGCAAAATTGACAGGGACCGACCGGGCGCCGTCTCCTCAATCACCGTAATGAAACTACGCACTTGTTATTCACGCCACATGAGCACGCGCACCATAAACGACTTAGTTTCACCGACACGCCCTCGTCATAAATTGCCCACGAACTGAAAGCTGATGCAAAACTGGCTTTTTTCGGACCAGTCTGGTTCCTAGAGTTTCCGAAGGGCGGCGGTCTGAAGCTTACTTTCGTGAAGCTACAGCTGAAGAAGCTTAATACGGCGCAACTGCGAAGCTCGCGTGCACCGCGGAAGCGTGTACATCGTGTTCCACACCATGCATTTGTCTGTCTCCGTCTGAGATCAACACATCTGCCAGCCGAAGCCCACGTGCCGTCTAACTCACTCGCAGTCCCTCCCCTCGCCCATCCACGGTCGCGGGGCCAGTTCCAAAGAGCGTAACTACAGCTGACGACTTCTCATGCGCGCGGGACTGACAATAGGACGCTTGGTTTTGCCGGCTTTGTACTGGATGGTATCTAGAGCATCATGATCTTTTACGATCCGGGTGCCTGTACGGGGTAATCTTAAACCGACGCAAGTCGCTGGCCTGCGACTTGCTGACTGCGACTTGCACTGGTAACCCAGCCGCCGGTGCGAGCCGGCCGCGAAGCTGTGTCCCCGTCGGCTGCTGCAGCGCCGGCTACCGTCGGCCTCGGCCGCGCTGACCAGCGCGGCCGGCAGCTCGCCGCCCCCCGTCACCACAGCGTCCGTGCCCCGCTCGCACATCAAACAGACGCGGCGCGGCGGACGCGCGGCGGGCGCCGACCGGCTCGGCACCGAGCGGCCGACCGCCGCACGGACCGCCACCGGGCCAGCCGGGCCTTCGCCGCCGCTGGGCGGGGGCGGGGGCGGGGGCGGGCGGCCGTGGCGGGCCCGCTCCCGGCGTCCGCCCATCCACCGAGCAGCCCAACACGCCGCCGCGGCCTGACCCATCCGGCACTCGGCAGCCGTCCATCGGCTCCAGCCACATATTACCGCCGAGAGACACTGCCAACGACTCGGCGCGGGTCAGCCTCAGGGAGGCAGCGGTATTTACGACCCACTGCGGCACGGCTCGGAAGTTTGCCCCAGGATGACTCCGTGTTTGAACAGAGTTCGACGGATGTCCCCGTGAATGGTTCACATTGTCGGACGGCACAGACCTGCAAGAGAGATCAATACGGTAAGACTGGCCGCCTCCAGGGTCTGTATGAGATTTCAACTCGGAGCCAGTGTTGAGCTATTGCCATTTCTCAGACCGTCAACGGGAAAGCCTCGCCCGCCAAACGAATTTAGCACTGTCGAAAACAGCGCCTCATTTAAATCACAAATCCGTCGCGCAGACAAACAAGAGGCGATGGGCAGAGACTGGCTACCACAAAAAGGCGGCAAAACGGCCGAAGACGCCCGCAATACGAAATACCAAACCATCGATTACGAACAAGAAATCACGAGCAGCAGCGATAGGAAGAAAAAAGGCGCCAGTCATCGCACGGAAGGCCGACCTCATAGATCTCCGTCAGCGCCGCTCCAGCGGACATGAGTAATTCCAGGACCGAACGCCGCACGCACGGCGCCCGGAAACGAGCGCAGCACAACGTCATAATGCACTCAGCGGCCGGGCCTGGCCGGCTGCCGGCGGAGTGGCCTCAGCGGCCGGGCCTGGCCGGCTGCCGGCGGAGCTGGCCGGCCGAGAACGTCCACTCAGCGGCCGGGCCTGGCCGGCTGCCGGCGGAGGTGGCCGGCCGAGAACGTCGGCCCATTGTGTGGCGTGGCGCGGGGCCGACCCGCACTGACCCCTCGGTATGACCTGACGACCCCCGTCGGCCGCGCGGCCGGCGGTGACCTGACCCCCAGCGCCGCCGGCCGCTGCCCGCATCGCCCTTCCACTGCGCCGCCCCGCCTCGCTTGCGGCGCGCGGTCGGCGGGCGGCGCGGCGGCACCGCAGAGACCGTTGAGTGCGACAAAGGACGCGGCTGCGGCGACAGAAGCTGCGCCAGGCGGGCGGCGACGGCGCCCGGGCGATGGACAGAGAACCCCGCACGCCGGCTGACCAACGGAGCGCTGTCGGCTGCCGTGCCCCCCCCCCCCTCTCCCACGCTCTCACCGCCGTCACCGCGGCGCCAGTCCGGGCCACGCACAGCTCCCTCTGGGACGGTGTACGGCCGCACCTACCGGCTGCAGACACGCAGCTCCGCTATCTGCCAATTAGCGGAAGTATGCTGGTCCGATCGGCGCCACGGGGCTGTGAGCGTCGCACCCCCTGACCGGCACCGCGAGCCGGGGGCGGGCCTGGCCGCTGGGTGATGGAGGACGTCGCGTCCCGTGCCCATCGACCCACGCGGCCGGCTCGTCGCTCTCCCCACCTCTGTCCGTCCAGACGTGCCGTCTCGGCTCGGCTTACCGTTCCCTCTGCTGTCCCTCCTCCCCGCCCGCTCCACCCCTCCCCGGCAGTACCAGTCGCGCTGCCCGCCGACAGCCGGCGTTCCCGTGGTGACGGATGGCTGGCCACCGCAGACGCGTCGGGTGGCGGCCACCCCGCCACGCACAGTCCATCAGCAGCAGGTCACGCGACAGGATAAGGCGCCGCATGATTCATATGAACCGGCCTGACAATAGTCTAAGCGGTGCCACGGGTGAGCTTTTCAACAAGAGAGCTACAGAGCACACCAATTCTGACTCGACGTAATGGAAAACCCGGCGGTGTTGATCTAATGGATCATCACCGTAATGGAAAACCCCGTCCCATATAAAAGGCCGCAGTCTTCTCCACTTTACATAATGTACGCACGACTGCCCATAACGCCATTTAAAGGGCAAGACTATCCGCGTTCGGTCCGAGGTAAAGTGCTCCCCTCAACAGCCGGTGCATGGGCCCAGGACAGATCGCTGGCGCACCCCAGCCGTACCGTGCCCACAGCCGTGACCCCAGTCCAGCCCGCCCTTTAGTGGCGTGTTCATGGGTACATGCAGGCCGCCCCTTCCCCGTGAAATTGTTACGCGCATTAGTATGCATATTCCAAGCGTGTTACCAACCGATAAATCCATGATGGCTTTGATTTTCATCAGGCGCTTCGACTGTTTTGACCGTTTTGCGCTGAACGGGTCAGGGCAGATCCGTAAAAGTAAGTGGATCGGAAATAGCGATTTTGTTCTGTGGCCTTCACGACATTTCGCGCGTCTGCGGCGCGCTAAAATGTTTTGAGCTGCCAGAAATTTCTAATTGTGCCCGCACCTTCCTCATTGCAACGTGGTGCCTACACGCCTGTTCTCGTCTCCCTGCTGTCTGAGCATGGCTCACCTTTGTTGTGCTCCTTCTCGAGCGCGGCGGCCGTCCTGCGCCAGTCGTCCAGCTTCTCCTGCAGCGGCATCACCAGACACTCGGCCAGCGCGCTGTAACCGGCGGCTGTTGTCAGAGAGGCGGCGCACTGGCGGCGGTCGCCCTCGCGCCGCGCCGGGGCACCGGCAGGCCGTGTCACAGCAGCTGCATGCCAGCAGTGCGCCCGGCAGCTGCAGCCGTCAGGTCTGCTGCCTGGCAGATCTGCTGCTGGACCGATGGCCATTCGGCGCCGGCAGCCGTGATTTGTGCGGGCTGGCCGGTGATGTTCGACTGATCCGCAGCCATCCCCCATACCAGCAGCTGCAGCCATCCCCCATACCAGCAACTGCAGCCATCCCCCATACCAGCAACTGCAGCCATCCCACATACCAGCAACTGCGGCCACCCCACATACCAGCAACCGCAGCCATCCCACATACCAGCAACTGTAGCCATCCCACATACCAGCAACTGCAGCCATCCCACATACCAGCAACTGCAGCCATCCCACATACCAGCAACTGCAGCCATCCCACATACCAGCAACTGCAGCCATCCCACATACCAGCAACTGCAGCCATCCCACATACCAGCAATTGAAGACATCCCCCATACCAGCAACTGCAGTCATCCCACATACCATCAGATGCAGCCATTCCCATACGATTATCTGCAGCCATCCTCCATACGATCATCTGCAGCCATCCTCCATACGATCATCTGCAGCCATCCCCCATAAGATCATCTGCAGCCATCCCCCATAAGATCATCTGCAGCCATCCCCCATACGATCATCTGCAGCCATCCCCCATACGATCATCTGCAGCCATCCCCCATAAGATCATCTGCAGCCATCCCCCATACGATCATCTGCAGCCATCCTCCATACGATCATCTGCAGCCATCCCCCATAAGATCATCTGCAGCCATCCCCCATAAGATCATCTGCAGCCATCCCCCATACGATCATCTGCAGGCCATCCCCCATAAGATCATCTGCAGCCATCCCCCATAAGATCATCTGCAGCCATCCCCATAAGATCATCTGCAGCCATCCCCCATACGATCATCTGCAGCCATCCCCCATAAGATCATCTGCAGCCATCCCCCATAAGATCATCTGCAGCCATCCCCCATACGATCATCTGCAGCCATCCTCCATACGATCATCTGCAGCCATCCCCCATAAGATCATCTGCAGCCATCCCCCATAAGATCATCTGCAGCCATCCCCCATAAGATCATCTGCAGCCATCCCCCATAAGATCATCTGCAGCCATCCCCCATAAGATCATCTGCAGCCATCCCCCATAAGATCATCTGCAGCCATCCCCCATAAGATCATCTGCAGCCATCCCCACGCGGCGCACACAGACAGCAGCCCTGTGACTCCCGGCGCCACTGCCTAACAGTGGTGCTGTGTCAACAGCCTCGTCTACCTTGACATTCGAATAGAACGCGACATGCATGTTCGGGAATTACATACGCCAGTACCAGGCATGCATGCTACACTCCCGACATCCCTGAATCATGCATACTACACTCCCGACATCCCTGAATCATGCACGCTACACTCCCGATATCCCTGAATCAAACAAATTGGCCATCACCGAATACACTACACCACAAACAAGCTCCAGTGGTTGGTGTCACCGACCCTACATCAATAATAATCAAATCCTGCCCCCCTGCACCGCCCCTGCTCTCCCGCATGCCTTGCTGTCGGCGACGGCTCTCCACGCGCGTCGACGGGCCTGGCGGGTCATGAGCCAGCAGCATTCCTGGCCCAGCAGGTGTCGGGTGCGCGCCGCCCCCGCCCCCGCCCGCATCGCGTGTGCGCCGGGTAGGCGGGTCGCACCACCGCCGACTGAGTGCTGACGGCCGGCCTCCCACCTGTTCGGTGTTTGGTCAGCCCGGCCTCTGCTCGAAGAGCCGGCGTCGAATTACGATACGGGTCGATAACCTTGTTCATTCAAACGCCAGCTGTCTGTGAGAAATGCGTTTCAGTTCTGTGTGTCAAGTGCTCTGTCACTTCACAGCAGGGGGCTGTTCGCGCTGGACAATACTCGCGGATGTGGTACGGAGGCGCACATCGGTCGACTCCCAGCTGTGCGTGAGCGCCTCTGACAAACGCCGAGTTCCCTGCCAGCCACGTCTGTTTGTGTCAGCTGACCGCCGCAGCTGACGTGTGGGGCCGGGACGTCCAGAGACTCGAGACTCAGAGACTCGAGCAGCCATGTCACCCAGCCGCGGGTCCCGCCGCCCGGAGGTCCTCTGACCGGTCTCACTTCTGGTCCCAACACCTGGAGGATTCTCTGACCGGCACCGGCCGCCACAACCACCTCTCTCTCTCGCTCTCGCTCTCTCGCTCTCTCTCTCTCTCTCTCTCTCTCTCTCTCTCTCTCTCTCTCTCTCTCTCTCTCTCTCTCTCTCTCTCTCTCTCTCTCTCTCTCTCTCTCTCTCTCTCTCTCTCTCCTCTCTCTCTCCCTCTCTCTCTCCCTCTCTCTCCCTCTCCCTCTCCCTCTCCCTCTCCCTCTCTCCCTCTCCCTCTCCCTCTCCTCTCTCACCTGGCGAACGTCTTGACCTTGGCCTCGACGGCCCGGTGCCGCAGGCAGATCCGAGTCAGAGCCGTACCGATGTCCCTGGTGGCGCCTGCGGCAGGGGAGGCAGACGGAGTCAGCGTCTGCCGTTTACGATACGGGGAGGTTATCACCGACGGCCACCGGCGACGGCGATAACTGGCAAACAGTCCCCGCTGGCTATTGGTCGGAGACATCCCGGTCTCAATAAAGCTCACAACACTCAACCAAGCTCTAGCGCACGGAGCAGCACATCGCTGACGCCAAACAGACGATCAAATCTTGTATCAGTGTTGCGTCAAACAATTCACAGGCCATGGCACGTCATAGTTTCCTAGTTTTTCAATTCATTGCGTTCATTAAAAACTGGATACATGCAAGTAAATGGTAAAAGAACTAGGTAATGTTTGCGATTTAACAACAGCGGACGCAATGCGCAATGCAAGTACCCACCGGCATAACCATAAATCAAACTTCACGAGTTCAACCTTTCTGCTTTTCAGTCAATGACGTACGCGTCAGGATGAGCCAGTTCGCTTCAAAAGGTTGTAAACGCTTCGAAATTACAACCACACCCTGTTGTGCGGTTCCAAGCATTGTAAACATTCCCTACTGGATTACGGAAGCATCGGAAGCCCAAACAAAATGGCGCTGTCCCGGGCAGCTTCGCATCAACAGGGCTGCGTTCGGCGGGGCGGACAAAGGCCGGCTCCGGCGGACGACCGAGGTCCATCCTTCAGGCCGCTGAGGCCCGGCGGAGTGGCCCGCCTGGCGGACGCCTCTGGCCCATCCTTCGGGCCGCTGAGCCCCCGAGGACGGCTGGGAGGGAGCGGCCGGTGGGACGCCCGACGGTCCGGTCACAGGGCCGGCCGACTGCGGTCCGATGGCGGCCGTCATGACGCCGCAGCCGGCCGCTCACGCACATTCCAGCCCTCCCACGCACATTCCGGTGCTCTCAGGCGCACACGGCTCGGCCGGGGCGGCGGCCGGCCCGACCGGCCGACTCGGCGCGCTCCGGGCGCGGGCGTCGGCGCCGCGCGCTCCGGAAGCCCGACACGCGGCTGGGCCGCAGCCGGCGCCGGCCGCTGCGGCGCATCCATTACGTGCCGTGCGCGGCGGCGGCGAGTGTGGCGCGGCACGCGCGGCCGTGCGCGGGAACCTCTCACGGTCGGCGCCGGGCGGCAGGCGCGCCGGAAAAAGCGCCGCCCGGGCCGTCGGATCACGAGCGGGCGGCATTCAACTGCGGCCAGCTGGGACGGGGCGAACGGCGACCTCCGGTACAGAGGAATGGTGGAGGTTGGTCTGGCGCACGTCATCACCGACCTCTGGCACATTATACTTCGATGACACTCGTTGACTCGACGCCACTGGCTCATGCGCCGTGAGTGTAGTGCTTGAGCTATTGCATTAAAAATGGAAATACTGAAGTGAGCTATCCACAAAACACACTTGCGCCTCCATACACAACCACTGCACACCTCACACAGGACATCTGTCAGCTCTTTGGGCTTCTTCAGGCTCTTTCCAGCAGTTTTCCGCCCGCTGCCGCAGCCGCCGGCCCGGCTAACCTGCTGGAGCTCCGAGCCGTGCGCCACGATGCGGCCGGGCGACCGCCGCCGTGCGAGCGGCCGCTGCCGGCCGCCCTCTCCTCACCGGTTCCGGAGAAAGTGCGTGATCAGACGGCGGTAGGCGCCGGCACGCAGCCGTGCAACGCAAGCCCGACCGGCGGCGATGCCTAAACCGAGCCGTGCTGTCCCAACCAGCCCGCTGGTTACGAGGGCCCGGACCGGACCGGACCGACCGGCCCGGCAGCGGCGGCGGCGGCGGCGGCGGCGGCGGCGGCGGCGGCGGACCTCGGCGGCCGGCAGGCACGGCGCCCGCGGAGGCTCCACAATACCGGGCTGGGCACACCACTGGGCCGGTCTCCGGACGCCGCGGAGACGGTAGTGTTGGCCCCAGCGCCGGTTTGGCGTCGGCCTGGATCGAGTGACAACAACCTACACTCAATAAGCAGCTGGTCTGTGGACTGATCCACAGGTGACTTCGGTTGGTGGCCTGCTGCTGTGGAAGACGCGTCCCGCTCCGGGCAGCGTATGTCAGCGGCTGCCAGAGCCCGCCTCTGGGCCAGAGCCTCTCCCTTCGGGGAGGGTCTGGCCAGACTGATTGGTGCGTCGTGTAGCCGCCGCCGACTGATTGCCGCTGCATCGGCGGCGGCGTCCTGGCCGCCCCGCCAGCCGAGGGGACCGAACAGGAGGCCGTCCCCCGCCACCCGGCGCGTGGACAGCAGCGGTCCAGGCCACGGGCGGTCGGCGCTGGAGGGTCGGCTGCGTGGCCACGCCCGGCCGGCTTCCCAGGAGCCGGTACGCCACACACTCGCCGTGCCACCCTCAGAGCAGGAAAACGAACGGTCCCACCGACAGTCCCAGCCCTGTTCCTGACTGGGTCACAGCGTGGGCGGCCAATATTCTCGCCACGAGCGGCTGTTATTCGGATCAGTGGGCGGCAGTCAGGAGCGATAACCGCAACCAGCAAGCTTTCCGCAGTCCACACATCCCACGCAACGACTGCAGCGAACTGGACGGCGTCCGACGCGGCCATGTGACGCCGCAGAAAGCCACTGGGCGCGGAGGAAACATTCCGCCTCAGCAGCCGGGGGCACAGAGGGAGAGTGACAGTGACAGACTGCCACCCGTCGGCCCCGACCGCTGGTGCAGCGCCAACTGGCTGCACACGGCAGAAGAAAAGAAGTGCCTGGAATGGGACAATGGAGGATAAAGGCGGACAATCGAGCTGCGCAAGCGGTCGTGCACCAGCAGATTTGACGTGCATATAGCGCACGCAATACGGCGACGCCAGCAGTGGCAGCACAGGGTCTCTTGCTTTCTGCTACCAGGCCTGGTCCAATCCTGTGAGCCCGTGGAGCTGTCCAAGTACTGGCAGAACCCTGCGACTTCCTGCTGGTGGGGAACACCACCCTGTGACCTGCTTCTGATGGAGAGCACGACCCTGTGACCTGCCAATGGCGGGAGATACGGCCATGCGATCTGCAACTGGCGGAAGACATAACCCTATGACCTGTGTCCTGAAGCTGACATGGTACACAACCCCGAGATCCATAGGCGTAGGAGCCGGCCAGCAGGTGTAAATGCAATAGCATCCCTACCTCCCGAGAATGTTGAGCATACAACGAGCATACTGCACCCTTTAATGCATCCTGAGCACAATGTACACTATAGCGACGCATGGACATAAATGGTCTTGGAACTCTCACTTTCTTCTCTGATCTTCTCCGATCTGCCACTGGAGAAGCAAAAAGCTTTGTGCCCTACTACTGGTGCAGGGCACGGCTCTGACTTGCCGCTGGCGGAGCACACGACTCCGTTCGCCACTCCCGCCGGCTGGTGCGGTCGATGCTGGGTGGAGGCAGCTAATTGCATTCCAGCCCGACCCGCGCAGATCGCCTGCCCTGGACGCGGGCCCCCGCCCACACGCGCTGCGGCGGCGGCGGCGGCCAGCACGGGGCGGGCTCCACGCACGCGGCACCGGCCGGCGCGCCGGCGGCGGTCGCGGCGCACTCCTGCCGACGCCGTATTGATCGCGCCGGCGTCTGTGCGTCCGCGTCAGTGTCACCGGCGGCGGCGGCGGCCGGCCTGCCGGATCTCCGCCGGTACCGGCACTGCGGGCCGACCCCGGCAGCGCGCGCCGCCGGCCGCCGCCCACCGCCCGCGCCGCGCACGCCGCCGAGCACGTGCTCGGCCAGCCGTCCCAGCACGAGCGATGTCGGGCGACGGCGGCCGAGCACCGACCGGTGGCGTTCCCCTCGGCTGCCGAGGCAGCGGCCGGACGCGGTCGCGGAGCCGCCGCTGTCGTCGCTGTCGCCGCCAGCCGCGGACCGGGCCGTTTTCAGGGTCAGAAAGCGCGCGGCCGGCGCGGCGCGGCGCCAATCAATACCGACGCTGACGCTGCCGCGGCGGCGGCGGCGGCGGCTGGGACGGCGCGCGGCAGACGGCGTGGCGCCTATCCCCTCCCCTCCCCTCCCCCTCCCCGGCCGGCCGGACGTGAGCTGCAGCGCCGCTCCGCTCCGGGCCGTGGCTCCGGCTGGGACCGGCTGCTGCTGCCTACCCCGCCCGGCAGCCGGGCGGCAGAAGCGTGATATCTGCGGCCGCAGTGATCCATGTCTGCATAATTCAGCCCGAGCGCAAACTTCTACGTGAGTTATGAGCCTCCCAGACTGAGTGGATCCAAATGCACGTCAGTCAGGTGGCGCGGAAGTTGGCAAGCAAGTTGTGAGCAGTTCTCGAATCGTACAGGATGTGGTAATAGTGTGTCGCACAGCATGCGCCCACTTCTCACAGTCTGAGTACCTCACGCGACGTGCGCGCTCGCCTCCACACCACGTGCCTTCCGTGTGCTTCGGTCGCTCTAGCCCCAAGCAGGGAGGGACGCGCGTAAGCCGTGCCACGTGACATGCGCGGCGCACGTCCTGCTCATCCTGACCTCCACAGGCTGTACGGCTCGGGCAAGAGCGCCAGTCCTGCCCGACTTGGGTACGCTTGGACTGGATCCCTCCAACCCTGCCCTTGTGCGTTCAGATCCCACCGACCTGCCGCTGTGTGGAGGTGCGCGGCCGCTGCCCCAGGCGCCCGTTCCGGCGGCCGGGGCCGGGCGCCGCTGCGGGCGCGCCGAGGCCGGATGAGCGAGTTTACACAGGTGGGCGCGTCCGGCCCCGCCTACCCGGTGCCGGCTCGTCCGCCGAACAACACTAGGCTGGGGCGGATGTGGACGGCGGGCGGACAGGAGACACGAGCGGACGCCCGGACGCCGGGGGAGACACCACCGGACACCCGGTCAGGAGACGCCGGGGGAGACACCACCGGACGCCCTGTTAGGAGACGCCGGGGAGACACCTCCGGACGCCCTTTTAGGAGGCGCCGGGGGAGACGCCACATGACGCTCTGTCAGGAGGCGTAGGAGACACCTCTGGACGCCCTGTTAGGAGACGCCGGGGAGACACCACCGGACGCCCTGTTAGGAGACGCCGGGGGGGACACCACCGGACGCCCTGTTAGGAGA